ATCGGAGTTTTTTCTGAGTTAAATTCGGAAGGCAATTGGGCGGGAGGCTTCATGTGAATAAATGACAAAGTTCATAAATAAAGAAAGCATACCGAATAAAAAATCCTAGAAGCTTACCATGGAACGACTTTCATGAATGTATCCGGTCGCAGTATCATCCATATCATCTTTACCATTCACGTTAACACTTGAGTTACTGGGTGGCTCGACTATAATGGAAAGAGAACGATCCATTTTGGTCAAAATCAGTTTCATGAATAAAAAGAGATCGAATTCATATTACCGTGAACAACTGTCCCATTATTTAAACCGCGGATATCGATGTCTGCATTTTTTTCGGTAAACTTAAAATTAGGAACGGCGAAATCATTTTTCCTGGGTGTATTCCAGTCACGATCTGAATTCCTCCTAAATGACGATAACCCTAAGGCATCGTCAAAGATTGGGTCACCGGAGAAAGGATCAACCGGATCGATAGTGGTCGAATCACCGTCGCGAATTCCAAAGAGAAATAAAGACATGGTACTGGGTGGGTGCAAGATGACGCGCTAGCTTTCAGCAAGAACTCTGAGAAAATTTTCGTGGATGAATTAATTTATATCAAAAAAAAAAAAAAATCGTATGATGTTATTATGATATGCGTGCGTGATTAACAAAAATTTATGTATTTTATCAACTTTCCAAAAATTTATCGTGTAATTAATTAATCATTAGATATGTCATTACTTGAAAGTTATCTTGTCATAATGACGGAAGCCATGATACATTAGAAAACTTATATTTTCGGATTTGCCTATCTTAATTAGGAATGCAGTTTTTCATATACGAATAACACTAGCACTCGGATTTCTATGATACAAACGTAAATATTACAGAATATTTTTCAAAGAAATTATTCCAAGGAATATATAGTACATAAAGGTAAAGAGAACATCTAATACTTTAAAATGTGAAATTGTGGTAATTAGTCGATGGGAATGCATATTAGGAGTGTATCGTATATGTACTGTATGGTCTAAGGACCATGTGAAGTCTGTAAATAGGAAAGTCAAGAGGTTTGGATTATTATAATTATTAATTATGATTATCAGATAAAAGATGAACGACATAAAATTTAGATTGGCAATAAAAAGCAATATGTTATAACGTAGAATTTTAATTATGGACTTTTTTTTGAGCATAAATACGATATGTTTTACCATAGGACTTATACTCCATGATTTCGGCCGTTACCTTATCGGCCAACGCTTCAAATTCAAGGTTATCCATCGCCGTCGAATGTAATATTCTTGCTTTCATGAACCTCATCAGTTCTTTTGCTGCATTAACAATACACGATGTGAGATCTCATTTGGATAAAGGCACGATGGATATTTTTCAACAAGGAATTTCGCATACCAATGTCAACAGTGTTCTGCGATTCCGGCGACGAAATAGGATACCAATAATTGATCTTCTCCTCCGTTGTTATTGACATCAATTGTGGTTGAAAGGATTGTATTATCTCTTGAAATTTCGGAATGCTCATATAAATATAGTGATCTTGTTTACCAGCAAACCCTAATGAATCAAAATAAATGGAGATAAATTATTCACTAGTTTGAGCAATGGAAGCATGACCTTTGATGTTCTTGCGACTTACACATTTGCGAGAAATCTGAAGTAATGGGTCCGGTATCGTAAAATTTTCGATCCAATTCCATAAACTGCAAATTGATTTTTTTAAACTCAGGTGCTGAAGAATAATGAAAGTAATCATGCGTCAATGTGTACCTCGATCCGACCGCCTGGTTTGAGCACGCGTAAGACTTCAGGTAAGACCTTGTACTTCCATGCCTCTTCCTCAAAAAAATCTTTCATGAAACGAAGATATACGAAATCGAATTTTTCCCCGTCGAACGGAAGACCGTCGAGAATATCGTGTTCGTAAAAGGACACATTAGGTGGTTTTATATGTGTTGGAAACAGAGGATTCAGGTCCAAGCCGAAAAAAGTGCTTTTAGTGTACGTGGAAGCCAGGTCCAATAATAAGCTACCAGGGCCGCACCTAAAGTTTGTAATGTGAGCTTTTCTATATATAGAAAATCGAATGAAATGACCATGCAATTGTTACCCGACGTCCAAAACATTCGCACCGATTTGAAGAGCCTCATCAATTGACGGACTCGAGAAATTACCATTCCAAATAAATCGAAAATAGAAATGTAGGAGGTGAGCCATGTCGATGTCATCATTTTTTATATTAGAATAAACGGCTTTCTTATCATCATCATTTTCATCTTTTACATTTCCTAGAGAATTTTGATTTTTGTTTGAAATTAATTGAAAAGGAGATTGTCTCCTGAACGATGACGAAGGAATTTTTTTCTTTTTCATCCTCTCTTGAGGATTCTTTGAATTAAACCCTCCCATTGTCGATCACTATTGGTTGTGATTGAAGGAATGGAATAGAGAGGAATAAGAATGGACAATATTGTAAGGGAGGTGACTAAATCTTGAATCTCTATTTTTATAACTTACGCGAACGAAAATTTTATTCATGCGATGACGTTCTAACAGGGTCTCTTGATTGATTTGTGTAAAACAATAATACCTTTTTTGGCGAAGAATTGACCTTTCTCAATGAACCAATACCCTATACAATAGAAATTACCTATTAGTTAATGTAAACTGCACTTTCCAATTTTGGTTCAAAAGAACTGTTGCTAAACTCTGTTTTCAAAGTGAAGAATTGCATATTTGCGTGCACATCGTTACCCCAGCTCTGATCGCTCTCCTTTAAAGAACTGAGTTTGCGAAACGGAAAATTACAAATGTTATCAACAATGACGATAAAAGTTCAAACTTGTTATATTATTACTAGAACAAGTTGTGAGAATCACAACTGCGATCGTGCATATGGCAAACCTAATTATTAATTCCATGAATTAATAAACATCGTTACCTAACATATTCATTTATTTTATTTCATTTCATATAACGACAAAGAAATCACTAACACAGAAATCATTCATGATAAGAAATTTCTGCCCAAGCATTTGAAAATAATCATTTCCTGTTGGATTTCTGCCCAAGCATTTGAAAATAATCATTTCCTGTTGGCCAAAAGAAATTTCCATGATTCATTTCGAATATAAGTGGCCAATGTTTGTTTATGTGAAATGACCGGATTTAATTCACTGAGCCATTCGCGTAATTTCCGAGATGAGTAATCTGATAACTCAACGGGTATCTCTATCAGATAAGCAATCGCAATAATAAGTGTTTATGTGAACCTTGACTACAATGAACGAGAAAAACCAATCATTTCTTTCCCTGGAGACAACATTGAAACCGATACCGTTAAAATTCGTATTTCACTTATTAATTTATTCCCTTTTAATTTATGTCTTATAACCAAGTAGTCTGAATTTTTTTTATTAATTACTGTATACTGTACTGGATATGACCTTGTTATATCCTATCGAACCTGAACACGTGATCTAATATTCTCAGTGCTCTCTTCTCTTCACTTTCTATACTTTGATATATTCTTTAATCACTTTGTCTAAATATTCGTAGGTGGAAAATTGTATGGCCCCTCCAGGCGCAATCCTGACACACCTTAACGTGGCACCTTTAAAGAAGGATTTTACACCTTCTTTCCTTAGCATTGCCTTCACACATTCCCAACTATTCTTGTATCCCACGTCCTGATCTTGCATCCTAGTTTTAACCACATCCGGGGGTGAATTTAATATACCCACCAGAATGTTTGCCGAAAACCCGGATGCTGCATGTTGCCACGGTGATAGAGGTTGATTATTGTTTATGGTCGAGAAAAAATCTTTGAATGTGTTATAACCTGTGAACTGGATGAGAGAAAAAAGATCAGAACTTGAGCAACGGAGATTGATAATAATTGATTTGTGGAATTACCTTGACAGCTAATCCCCACGATTGTCTAAAAATTGTTGGCAATAGGCCGTTGTAAAGTGCCAGTATTCTACCAATAATTTACAATATATTGATAAATCCGTAAAATTTGTCTTTTTTCGAGAATAAAAAAAAATATGCACCCCTCCTGTCTCACAATTGATACGATGGTAGAAAACATTCCACGATATTTTTGCTTGTTCAAATCTGTTTGTTGCCTTATCTTAACCAACTCTAATGGTGTAACCAAAGTGACGGCTTGCATAATTCCCGTGCAAACCTGAAATAATATTACTTGGGATTTGATGGATGATGACATTAAAAAATTCGCAAAGAAATGTTTACACCGACGCTTACCCCAGTTAATGCAGACGAACTGTAGCAAAAGAAAGTATATTAAAAAAACGCGATAAAAAGATGTTTTCATGAACGACAAATAAATTTCCAACCTTCCAGGAGGTATTATCACTCCCTCCATCCGATCGAATATGGGCTTGAACATTGCCAGCCCGGTGTATTGCAGTGATACTCTACATATGAGTACAAACACTAAGTAGGCGATCTCATAAATAACATGATAATAATATTATAGAGGTCTTCCTTAATAATCTGGTCCTAACCTCTATCGTAAGCTGAGCGTTGAAATATTCATTCACCTTGGGGTAACAATACACATGACAGGCAAAGTCCCTCTATATAGAGCTATAATTAAATATTATACAAAAGAAGAGGATTGCAATGTAAACATCCAAATAAAATATCTACATTTGTGAACGGAAAAAATAGTCGTACCGAATAAACCTTCTCTGCCGATAATCTGTTGAAATGATTTTATTATACCAAATCCTTCGTAATTCGCAGAAACTCGAGCCGACTGGTTACATATTTCGTCAATTATTATGGTTTTAAAATAAGTTGTAAACCAGTGAACTCTTGATGCGAAGTACAAGTTAATTAATTACCTGATACCTACAGAGAAAGATGTGTTTTATTTATTAAGAAAATCATTCATAATTTGGTGAGATGAAAAAAACCAAAAAAAACTTACCTTGTCTTTAAAACGTCAGTAGGCTGTTTTTGTTTTTAAAATAAAATAAAAAGGTTTTTTTTTTACATTACATGTGTATCTATTTTCGTATCAATTAAAATCATGTCGATAAAGATAATTTATCGAAGTAAGAACCTGCATAATAAGAACTTCGACGAAACTATATTCACAAAGACTGTGTATTAGCATGCAATCCATTAGGAAACAGAAAAAAATATTTGCTGAGAGAAGAAAAATCATCGAGATACTTTCCCAGCTCCAGTGCCAGCCAAAGTTGATGCGAGAATACTTTTCTTTGGATCCTTCGTTTTTGACATTTTTTTTCGAAGTTTGAATTCAAATTACGGATAAGGGACGATCAAATATTCCATAAAAAGGTGTTTTATAGATTATCGTGATTTCTAAAAACTGCTGCTTGTATTACCTTTTTTCGCAAAAAAAAAAAAATGATTAAAATTTTATAAATCATATATCGATCATTGTATATTATGTACTATTAGCCTATTGTATTTAACTAAATTGCTTGATCAAATAAACGAGATCGTTGTGGAGTAGTTGCTAATTGTCAGACTACCTCGTTCCACGTTCGAAAGAGAGAGAGACGGTATTATCTGGTCGAATTGTTGCGCGATAACAGGTAAAAAAACAATGAGTGATAAATTAGACCATAGTGCATACTAAATACAACACCATTTACGTTCTCGTGTATCCTTTATTAGAAGGACTCAATCAAACCTTCTTTTGTGTTTCTTCATACTCCTTGATTATATACAGTACTTCCAAAAAAAGTCCTCAAAGTCCTGATGATTATAATATCGCATACCGTCAAGCATTTCTTACTTTTATGAATAGCGCACTTTCATTCACTAATTGGATCTTATAAGATAACCCAATAATTGTTGTTTTCTTTCTAGAATAACAAGTATCTCGATCAATAATAATAATAATAATTTATGAAAATAACATTTTTACAGTAATAATATAATTATTATGTTGTCGCGAGGAATTACTGTTTAAGCCGTCACCGTATGATGGGTATAACCTTTTTTAAATTTTGATATCTCGTCAGAGGGTGTGCGCCGCCTAGTGTCACGTGCTCAAGATCGTACAACGTTGAGTCCAAGAATCCAAAAATCTCTTAATTTCTCGTAATCTTTTCGTGTTTTATAGTGTCTAGCATATTTATATTGTTAATTATTTAATAAAAAAATAGATAATTGTTTCTATTAATCAAGATTATTATATTATACAATAGAATTATAATAGGATTTTTATGTTAACTAAATTCAAATTTTTAAGAATGCGTGTACTAGGGTGTCCAGATATATGCGGCAAATATACTATAAATGAAATATAATTAAAAAAAAAAATGAAAAATTTTGATTTTTTTTAATTATATAGTAGATATATAAGAGAAATAAACAAAAAAAAATTTTTTCAGTTATACTATATATACATAAACTATTTGATCATTAAGAAATTGTATGTATGCTATTTGTTAAAATAGAAAAAATTTAACATTACTAATGAAAATTTAGAAAGTGCATGTTGTTGATCTTTTAAAATATTTTTGTAATTTTAAAAATACTGATAAATTTTGTATATTTTTTATATAAATTATATTATTACTAATAAATAAAATTATATCATTATAAGAAATATTATAAAAATAAAATAAATTATTAATTACTTGAAAAATACCAACATAATCAATAAATTTTAAATTATTGATTTTAATTAATTTGATTTGATTTGAAAACTAAAAAGAATATTTATAATATTTTTTTATAATTATTAATAATTTTATTTAGTGTAATATTTATTTTTTTTTAATAAACAAAAATGTAATTTATAAAATATTGAATAATTTTTTCTTATAATTAATTTTTTTCAATTATAATATTAAATTTAATAATAATTAATAATTAAAATTAAAATAATATATATATTATTTTTATATATTTTTGAAATAATGTTTTTAATTTATCAATTTTTTTTTTTAAAAGAATATTAGTTATAGTACATATTTTTATTAAATCAAGATTGATTTATTTTTAATAACAATGTAAAATTTTATTATATATTTGATTTCATAAAATTAATTTTTTCTTTGATATTAATGTGTTTTTATAAAAATTAAATAGTTATTTAAAGTTAATTTATTTTTATAATTAATATTTTAACTATATAAAATATAATATATTAATTATTATTTTTATAAAATCATTTTTAAAATATAAATTTATTAAAAAATAAAAAAATACTAATATATATATTATAAAATGGATATAATGTTAACTTTAATATTATTTTTATTTATATATAAATATTTTTATTAATATTATAATATATATAAAACTTCAAAAAGTATTGAAATTGATATCAAAATAATATCAAAATAATATTGATTGATTTATAGTAAATTTAATATATTGATTGTAATCTACTTATATAGATTTATATATTGAAATGATATTAAAATAATATTGAAGTGTTATCAAAAGTAATATTATTAGAAATTCTAGACATTGAAAAATAATTTTATAATGTTATTAAGTAAGGTTATTTATTGAATTAATTATTTAATACAATAGATTTATGTGATAATATAATTATGATGAAAATTAAGATTTTTTAATATAGTATTGTAAAGTTTTAAAAACAAAGGAAAAAGAGAACTAAAAGCAACACATTTATAGTATTTATTATATAGTTAAGAATGAACATTTATCTTAATAAGAGTAATTGATATGGTAGTTCATAAAGAATATCAATACTGTTCACAAGAATAAATAGAGAAAAAAATTTTTTTCAAAGCTTCTGTTTTGAACAGATACAAATATCATGAATTTTCATTACAAGAGTTTATTAATTTTTAAATTTTATATTGTCACAATTATCCAAAATATTTAATTGCTAAATAAAAAACAACTATTAGAAAGATTTTATTCTCATAAATTGACAAGGATTGAATCAAAATTAGTGGTTTCGATTTTCAAAGTGTCCCATTTTACTGTATAATATATTGGTTTGCTGTATTGACGAAGATACTTTTATGGAGATATGATAACAAAACGGTACAACTTTCAGATAAAACTCAGACAGTTACACATTCAATTTTCATGTTCAACGTTTAATCTTGTTTGTCAAGACCGCATGGGGCTGACTAAAGTACCCATGACCTTTTACCAGAGATGGACACTCTCGTGTACAAAGAATAAGCTTGTTCGTTTATTGTACCCTCCATAAATGCTCTTGGTCTAATAATGATTTTTGTAAAAAGTTATAACCTGCAATGTAGTATGTACTTCAGTCTACCATAAGCACATGACCATAAACATTAGAAATTCCTTTATAAATAAAACCTTTCGATAAAAATGTAAAATGAGTGAGGCAGACTCTGAGGGATGTCGAATTATAATTTATGGTGAAAAAATTTTACCACGTAACAGAAAAAGTGAAATTTCGATTGATTACGAAAAATTTTCACACAACTGAAAAAGAATAAATAATATTGTTTGCTTGCTCACCAAGCATGAAATATGTTGCAACTTCGAGTGGTCATGAATGATTCTTTTGAGCGATACGATAATTCGGCTTTCGTGTGGGGATTCATGGAAGGAGAAAAAGAAAAGGGAGTCGGAATTAAACCAATTGACCTAAAATATTTGAATTTAAAATAGGAACAAGAAAAAAGTTGTAATTACGTCTTACTAATATCGCATATACAGTAATTTATTTCAATAGAACTTCTTGATATTAACACCGGATTAAGGAAAATATTAAATGATTATGGAATGATTGATGCAGTCGCATTTCTTAATAGTGGAAAATTGGTAGTCATTAAAGGGGATCTGGTCTTCATCCTTTTCTAATATCAAAAATCAATGTGACTGCACAGATTATTATTTCTCTGGAAAGAGTGCTGATACACCTTTAGTAATTATGCGATACAGTCTGGAAACACTAAAATTTGAGGTCCAATCTTAATAAGTATAAAAGGAAACATCAGTATGAAGCTAAACGGTGACAACGCATTAGCAGTGGTTGGACACGACTATTCATATTTTTCAAATGTCTGGGTTTGTTCAACAAAATTTGATATAGTGATAACAAAATCGTAAGTATCAATCATGTACGTGTAAATCCACAGTTATCAACCTGTTAATTTTTATTATTTCGACCACTATTTTATCAGATCCAAGAAAGAGGAACGTTTGATTATCCATAGAGAATATCGGAAAATAGTTATGAATCACGCAATCATTCAAAAGAAACGAACATTAGGGTGTTACTTGATTTTCGGATGATGATATTATACAATTTTGTAGATCGATTTCATGGTTTTTTCGAAATGAAAGGTGGAACGATACTTACACAATGACTTGAAAAATATAATAAAATCAATACACTTTTTTGTGGAGAAGAAATAAAAGATCAACAGAATCCACTTTAAAAGCATATGAATTACAGCAGGATATGATTCAAGATTTCGAAACAGAAAATACTTTGGAAATACGCGAATTAAACCAAATATTTTTTTTTGCTTAGAATAAATTTATCGGTAACTAGAGTGGATACACCAATGAGGAAAGAGTTTTGAGACTGCTAAAGAAGGAATTAAGCGGTTCTGATTTTATTTCTTGAAAGGTGATAGGAGGATACTTTGATTATTATTTCATTAAATTTCAAAAGATAAAGGTAATAATAGGCTTCGGTGGCTACTTTAATCCAATTGTTAGTATTGGATATAAAAATTATACTGTTAATAATAATAATACAAAACAAGTAGTAATTGATTTATCAAAATGTAAAATAAGATTAATGAAAATCAATAAATTAATAAATTTAAAAGCTTGGTTTTTTGTTTTCAAGAATTTAAAAACATAGTTAATTAATATTCTTTATATACATGCCACATTTTGAACAAAACTTATTTAAATAATTATAATATGTCTAATTTCTTATACTTAATTGAAAAAAATAAAATAATAAATATTTTACAGTATTGTTAAAAAATATTTTATTATAATTGAAGTTTGTTAATATTTGAAATATTTGTTAAATTTATTATAAAAGTCAATTAAATAATATTTGGTTTTTTTTAATATAAATTGAAAATAAGAAATAATAATCCAAAATTAATATTAATTCAAATAATCCTATTTTAATTGCTAAATTATAATCAAATTTAATTTATTTGCAATATATAAAAATCAAATATAATAACAATTAATGATCAATTTATTATCATGAAAAATTTAATTATCAATTTAACAAGATTGCAATAATAACAATTAATTAATTGCTATAAAATTAATAAAAGATATATGATATTATATAAAAAAATTGAATTTAAATATATATATATATATATATATATATATTATTTATTTATTAAATTTGAAGTAATATAAATATATGTTGTATAAAATAATAACAACTATAAAAAAAATACCTACTATATTTTGTTACTAATGATTTTAAAATACTAATATCTTAAACATTGTAATAATTTCATCTGTTATCAAATTAAAATGTATATGTGATTAAACTATATAATCTGTAAAAATTTAATACTGTGATATTTAATATTTGATAGATCAAAAAATCTTGAATTATGTAATTATTATGATATACGGTATATGTAAAGTAAATTTTTTAAAACAAATTTTACCTAATTTTCTTGAATACCTCTTTTTCAAAGTTTAATTTATTAATATCGTATCAAATAGTTGTAAAAGTATTGGAATTCTATGATCTTATAAAATAGGTTTAATTCGTTTGAATCTATTTTTATAAACTATCAGAAATGAGTAATTCTTTTTGAAGGCGGACAGGGATTTTTCTGACTTTATAATTGTACTCCTAGAATTTATATTGTATATGTATTGTTCAAAAAAATAGGGATCAAAATATCGTATATAACATTTTTGTCGTTTTCAAAAAGAATCAGCCAAATACCCATAAATATAAACAATGCCATGAAATAGTAAAAGCAAATGAACTCTTGAATCATTTAATTATGGAAATGATAACACGATTGGAAGACAATAATCGAGGTATAAAAAAAAATCACCAGATAAATTTACCTGGAAAATAATATACAGATTAAGAAATAAAGGAATAATTAACATGACAAATCTAAATACCTAATTTAATTAAGCACTCGGGCTCAACACACGAAATGCTTGTATTGTCATTATGGATTTATAATTTTTATTCAATTTGACATTTAAATAATAAAAAAAGAAAACCCATAATTTGCGAATCATATGGACCTATAAGGTATTCTTAGTTGACAAAAAAACCAATAATCGTGCATTCTGATTGGCTAATTTATAACTTTCCAACCCAACACTATATACTAAAGTCACGTTTATCGTTGATTTACCAATGGTTCATATTGAGAACTCATATGCTTACAAATTCACGAGAATAACGAATGATAATCAATTTGACAAGGGCTATTATTTGGTTGATTTGACTCGAAAATTGTATGCGAAATACTACAAATATGATTGTAATTTTGTTTTTTTTCCTTGCAAAAAAATTTCAAGGTTTGCGCCCTAGATTGATTACACCTAGACAAAATTCAAACTTCCTAGAGCTGAATTTCTTCGGACTTGACTTTTAAAATGAACAAGATATTTTACGCAATATCAAGCATCTGCTTGATAGTTTTGGATTTTGTCATTTACGTCATCCCAATTTCACTATTTTGCATGTTATCAACTATTTTTCTTTTTGTCATCTTCTTCCCGCGAAATCTATATTACTTTTATATCATTCTAATAACCAACAAATGCGTCGGTCCCAATCTAAAAGCGTTTTTTTTCAGCCTTTCACCGGTCGTCATTGTCCTATACTTTCCGATTTGCTTGTTTATAGCAATTTTCTATGTGTTTTACATAATTTTGCACACACCGATAAAGACATATTACGACGGATTTCACAATGACGTTGAATTTTACAAAATTTCCCCGACCATGGCGTTGGTCCATTTTATAATATATTGCGGTATCTCGGAAATCCAGAGTGACATTGAATCTCAAGCCAAACGTATCTCATCATCACAACCAATAACGAAACCTTTCAAAGATACATGGAAATTGATGATTCTTACTTGGCACCATTTATACATCACCCTCCTTCAAAAAAATCGCGATTGTAAGAATAAAGCCACCGGAAATTATTACGATATTCACATTCTTCACATACTGTTGGCGATACTTTTCTTTCCCATATACATAATATGTGCAATGCCTCTGGGAATAATGATATGTGTGATATTCTACATACCATTTGTGTCTAATACAATCCTTGTATTTTGGAACAAGTATTCAAGTTTAAATAGACGGATGAAGATGCTAATGTTTATTCCGGTGGTTCTGGCTACAATAATTTCACCGATAATTGTCACTATAGAGGAGACGGTGGTGATGACTGGAGTGTGGTATCTTTCGGTCCTAGCGATGTGGGTGGTGGCAAATGAAGGTTTTGTACGTGGATTTGACGTGTTATGGTGGGTGATTGTTAATCTTTGGTTGCATGCAGTAGAGATAGCGGGTTTTAGTTGCATCCATCTTATAATACATGTCTAGACACGTTCAGAGTTTACTGAAATTTCATATTTATGCACACTGTAAAGTATAGACCATCTATTTTTTAACACCCATTCCAGCAGATTTATAATTAAACATACCAATGTGTAAATCCTATAACTATTACTATTCTACTGTAGATACAAGTATATTATAATATCTCCGACGAATTCAGTGCATATATACAGTACATGATATTACATAAGAATTAATTAGTATTATGATGAGTAAAGAAAACGGTAAGTTTGTTTTTGCATTTGATACGTGTGGAATGGATGTCGAGGCAACTCTGGTATTTGTAAAAGTTGGAACGTCACCGGCAGAATTAATACCGGTTTCCAATGAACCACCATCGGTGGCTGTTTGTGAGGTCGATAGTCCGGTAAATGATGTGCTATTATCACCTATGGTAGAATTTAATTTCACATCTTCAAGATATGGTTGATCGTCACCTCTACAAACCGCTATCTGTTGAATATTGTATCCAGCTGCTTTTACAATGGGTACGACCTTAGGAGCTTGTGCAGCGGTTTGTTTATAAAGATCATGTTCAAGTGAGATGTGTCCCGTGGTACTCGGTTCTTTTACCCACTGAGAGAAATTACCTTCGACCCAGTCAAGATCGAAGCTTGGATTTTGATCTGACAGCCAATCATTAGTGTCTCTATCCCAGATGGTGGGCTTGTAGCCAAGTTGGATGACAATTTGACGAACGCGATCATCAAAGTCGCCGTACGGTGGACGCATATATGTGGGGGTCACGCCAACAGCAGCTTTTATAGCTTCTGCGGTCCACTGCATTTCGGCGACAATTGCCTCGTTGGACTGAGTGGTGAGAGGGGTGTGAGACCATGTGTGCACGCCTATCTGGTGGCCTATCGTTTTAGATTGACATGTGAATTTACCAATTTTCGTTCGAACTTTTTTTTTTCTTTTCATTTACAAACGAAATACTACCTGCTTGAACGGCCTTTAGCAGAATTCCGGGATTTTCATATACTCGTGAACCAACTACAAAGAAAGTTACCCGGATATTTTGGGATGCCAAGTAATCAAGTACGGAATCAGTGTATTCCCTATCAAGAGATGCGGCGTTAAATGCGATTTGATTAGATTTGATGTCATAGAATATGGAAAAAAACTCACGATGGACCATCATCGAAACTAAGACCCCAATCTGTGAAAAAAATTCATAGCTTAGATCAAATCGTCTTCCATGTAATCTCACCAAAGAAATGTTTCTTACCGCCTTTATTAGGACATTCCACGATGTCACTATCACGCTGTCGTTTATAAGTTGGTTAATACTTTGATCAACAATATTAGTCGCGTAAAGAAAGAGAGATACATTACAGTGCAGCCTGTACATGACCTAAGAAAGTTCATTTAGTTAAAGTCACGTGTTCACAATAGGTGGGATGTTTCTTAAAAGAAAAAGAAAAAAACCACATACCAGTCGCAATAGTTGTTAGCTTGAGCGCAATCATCGGCCGAATTCTTAACGGGAGCGCTCGGGACCTTGGTGAAATCGACTAATCCATTAAATTTCTGATCGTATGGTGGAGGTTTATCCAGCTCAGGCCATGTCCCAGGAAGTTGTTGTGCATTGCTTTGCAATATTAGTAGAAAAATTGCTGCAAGTGTGATAATGTTTTTAATGTGTTTCATTCTGTAAATTTCACCTTTCAACTTGTGAGTGTTTCATTCATAAGTCGATAAAAAAAGTTGATTTAATTTCTCCACGTATAATAAAAATAATACAATGAGAGAGTTTTGTACAGTTCAGGAACAGAGAACAGAGGAATGGATAATAATGGAGCTTAAATATGAGTTCTTTTGCCGATTTGACAGGGACATCGAAAAATCATGAAACCCGTAATAGTAAAACGCATGATGATTGAGGATATCTCTTTTCTTTAAAAAACCTAATGTCGTAGCAAACGATGATCACTCAGATGATTAACCTAGAGGAAATTCCAGTTCGTCACCGTTAATTACGTACATTAGTTACATTAGCTCTTGTTGAAAATCTATTGTTAGAGGTAAATTATATTACTCGTATAATATATAAAGTATCTAATTAGACTATGGACTTTTTTAAACTATAGACTTTACATACTCATTGGACATTAGACTTTGCGTAATCTTTCATTAGATATATTTAATATTAGAATTTATCACGACTATTTATACTTCATTCTTAGCAGTATAACATGTATTGAGATATAAAAGTCGTCATATCAAAAAAAAACGGGGAGATGAACAAATAAAAAAGGAGAATTCTTGTTTTAACTCGGCCAATTATACGCGCCTCAACAATCAAAAAGAAAAATTACGTGAATGCCGGTTCAAGGAAGCGACAGACTCTCCAATTAACGCCAACACTATGTAAAATTAGTATGAGAAAAAGGTCACGCCTCCTGATGTGCTATCACACAAGACGAAGATCAGGGTAAAGTTCTTTCTACAAGATCCCGATCTCTGAGCGAATTATCTTTGTTTTTCTGTACCTTCTATGTCTCATACAAGCACGTAATTCGTTTTTGTAGCGTCTCACTGAATAGAGAACTCTGTCAGGTCGGATTCGCCTCTCGTCCTATGAAGATATCTTAATTCCACAAGATGTAAAAATTCGACACGCAACAATAAACGCTAACCGTATAAAACTGTCGTTTTCATCATGAAAAGTTCAAAAAAAAGTCCCTTTCTATGTCCAATTATATGCTCATTCAAACAACCAATCTACACTTGGAAAAATTTAAAACTTACACCCGCATGTTTTTTCAAACTTTTGGTAAACAAAACCAAATAGGGGTGGTTGGTAATTAAAATTAGTAAAGTCTGATGTGACAAAAATGGAATAGATGATATGTGTCAATGTACATAAATATACCGACTACTATAAAAAACTTGACGCTAGCATTTAATCGCGCACATTTTAAACAAATAAATTTGATCAAGAGAAAATCAAGCATATCTAATCAGCACTTAATTACCGTAAATATTAATTGGTATATTTATAGAAAAATAGAACAGACGTTGACATCTTTCTTGGAAGTTTATGTGGCCATGATGACCACCACTTATGACGCCAAGATTTTTAAAAAAGGTATACTGTAAACCCATTTCAGGTCGTTTGTATGAAATAAACCTATTTTGTGCAATGAATACAATATTGTTGCAAAAATTACAAAGTCATGGAAAAATATACAAAAATAGAACATCGTTATGCAAAAAAAAAAATACAAAGGTAAATATAATTTAATTTTAAATAGTTACTGGGATTTCATAAATTCTGAATCTCCTATGGAAAATATAATTCACTACCGTGAATATAATTAGTACGTGATATTATTTTTTATGTAGACAATATTATTATTTGGATAACCCTTAAGTTTTAGACAATTTTATATAAAAAAAATCCAAATTCACAATTGAATTTTAAATTTTATACTGTATGTCTTTAATTAAAGTTCTATTTTTTAAAAAATTTCATTTTCATTTTCATTTTTTTGTTGTTTATTTATTGACACACGAATCCATTAAAATATAAATCAATAAATCAAAATCAAATATTATTAGCAAAACCTTTTTAAAAAAATATTTACTAAATAAATATATATATTGTATATACTGTTATATTTTTATACTATATATTGAAATAATATATTGTATTTAAAAACATGTGTTTTAAAAATAAAATGAATCTCAAAAAATATTTCAAGATTTGATATAAAATCCTTTCTTGTAACATGAAAACTTGATATTCAAGAATTAAATTTTTTTAAAAAATCTTTTTATCAAGTAAAATTTTCATTACTTTTATAAATAATTAAAGTATTATTCAAATAGTTTCAATTATAATTGTTTTTCTTATGCTCATTATAATATATTGTGACTAAACAATTCAATAACAATTAATATTATAAGAATTATTTTTCTTATATAATTAACAATATTATCCATTCAAATTAAGTTATTTAATTGCTAAGTTACAGTCAATTATAAAAAAGTTATAAATAATATATTATTTATTATTAATAAAAAATAACTCTATTACATTAAAAAAAAATTAAACAATTTTGTTATTTATTTATTTATTTTTTAAAAAATCATAAAACTGATATTAAATATAAAACTTTTATTTATTTATTTATTTTTGAAAAAGCAAATGACTATCATGTTTTATTTTATTATTATAATTTTAGACTTGTGATTACAAGATTTACAACATAATTAACATAATATACATCTTTTTTTACTAAGAAGAGTTAAATACAAGGCCTATAGAAGAACCACATCCTAAGCTCCTTGGTACCACTCAAGAAATACAATAAAATAAATTTAAAATCTATATTATAGTCTTGAATGATATCTAGCTAACTAGAAATTAATTTGAATGCCTAATTATATAAAAACACTGCAACTACTTTATGAATGTGACTTGATGTTCAGCAAACAAAATAGTATTGAAAGTAGTTAAGTTGTGATTATCTTTTTATATAAAAACACTGCAGTCACTTTATATAGGTTTGCTTTCAAGTAATGAAAAGGATTTGGCACATCTATTTTTCAAGTATGATGGAAGTGTTATATGGATGAAGTTTTGTTTTGGAGTTTTTTAAAAGTACTAATATCTAATCTTGTACAATGAGACCTATATTGTTAAAGAGTAAATGAGAAACTTTCATTGTTATTACCAGCTTATGTTGCAAAGTAACTAAAATTTTTGATCCTTACATATTATCCTACTAGATTCTCCAATCACCAGTATGACACCTGCAAACTAATCTAGCTTATTGTTAACTGCATTGGCATTGGTTACTATATTGTTCTGGATACTATAAGGTACAACTTCTTGAATACTTTTGAATAATAATAATTGTACACCAGTTTTTTAAATGTATTTAGTCTTATTATTAACAAGTAAACAATACCGAATTAAATAATAATAGCCATATTAATTTTTTGAAAAGAATAAACCATCTGTTCTTTTTCTAAAAAGCCAAGAAAGAGAAAAATTTTCAAAGCCCACATCTTGTAAAAACCTTGTTACTTCTTATATGGTTCTTAAGAAAAGAAAGTCTACTGGCCAGAAAAGTAATAAGATAGAAGATGATATATTAAAAAAAAGGAAAGATCTAGAGAAAAAAAATCTTTAAAAAAAGAAAAAAATCTTACTTTGATAAAAAAAAGAAAAAAAGAGAAAAATATATATAAAAGAGAGTTTATAAAAAGATGAAAAAAGATGAAAAAAGGGAAAGAAAAAAGTACAAAAAAAAGAAAGTGAGGAAGAGAAAGAAGAATGAAAAAAAAGTAAACAAAAAAATTTCTTAAAAAGAAAATTTTCAAGTATAGAAAGAAGAGTAAAAAAGTGTTTTTTTTTTGTTTTTTTTTTTCAGTAAGTAAACACCATTTCTTTATTTTATGATATTGATAGATACACTAGTAAAAAAAATAATGTTTCTTAGATACAAAGCATATAACAAGTTAAATGCTAGCCTGCCTACATATCTATACCTAGCTAATATTGAAAAAAAATTTTAAAACAATATTATATATGCTAAATATAACTGAGTAATAGCTATATTTACTTATTCGGAATTTTTTATTAGACATAAATAAAATAAGAAGTAAAAGAAAATTGAGAAAAAAAGGAAAGTAAATTCTATATTTAATGTTATACAAATAAGAAATGTAATAAAACTAGTTATATAATTAAGGATGCCTATTTGGCATGCCACGCTTTTTTTTTAGTATTGCAAGTAAGTTTTATTCTAATTTATTAATTGTGCTGTAAACAACATACATTATACATTTCTATTCACACTTACAATCATTATAATTAAAATTCACCCACAGGTATATCATCTGGGTACAGCCTACCTATATATGTATTGTTATCTCAAGTCTTACTGCAATATATCTTATTAGTGTAACTAGATGTTCTATTTGACATTGTATAAAATTAAGGAGAATTTGAAATTTGGGACACTAGGGGTAGTACCTATATTTGATGAATAGAACATTACAATTTAATCTTTCCAGATCCAACCACCTGCAGCTAAACGCACTATTTTTTATTTAATTTCCACCCCCTCAAGCTACCCAAGAACATCCAAGGAACTTATATTACCAGGCTTATTGCCCATTTAAATATTCACAAGATTACCTAGCAGTCTTACTGCTGGGTCACCTTCTCGGGATAAGTAACTGTCAAAGTGATTTATTACTGGATTGAAATAGGACCTTTCCAGCTATCCTATAGGAAGAGACACCAGGTATCACAGGAAAATGATCACTGAGCTATCTTTTACCAAAAGCGGATATCTCATACTCCTTACAACTTCTGGCAATCATTATAACACCAACCAGATGATTGTCACACTACAATGCTTTTTCTGGAAATCACAATCTCAATGTCTACTTGGATCAGTATATGAAATGGCTTCTTATGAGAAACAGCACTTATACAGGTTATGGCACCAAATACTGTATTGATTTCTATTCAACTATCCTTACATGGGATTGAACTGGTATCTTGTGATTTAACTTGTGAAGTGTTAACCACTACATTATAGACCTACAGGTCCTTGGTATACCACTCTGATAGTTCCATTCTGTTTGAGTATATTGAAGAATATACTACTTTGATTGGCTAGGCTATT